TTGAAAAGCGAAAAAACGGCCGACATCATTTTCGAGCTGTGCTCGATCGTCGAAGGCCTTGTCCCGCAGGTGATTCTTGAGGGCCCGGAACAAGTGATAGTCGGAAGGGGCCAAGTCCGGAGAATACGCTGGATGGGGTAAAACTTCCCAGCCCAGTTCCGAAATCGTCTGGCGAGTCATCTTCGCAACACGTGGACGAGCGTTGTCATGCAGAAGGAGAACTTTGTCGCGTTTGGAACGCTCTTTTTGAATGACGCCAGCCAACTTCTGAAGTTGAGCAGCGTAGACGACGGCAGTCCCGGTGGTACCGGTTGGCAGGAGCTCACATTCCTACTGAATCCCACCAACGGCAGAGAAGAACCTTCTCGTGGAACCCTGGTTTCGGTTCGTGTGGCGGCAATTCTCCTCGTGGAAACCACTGACTCTTGCGAGTATGGTTGACGTAGAGGACCCAGCTCTCATCTCCAGTAACGATTTCCTTCGGAAGGTCCTTACTGTGCGGACGAAGGAGCAGTGATTCGCAGACACTGACACGGCTTGCTTTGTCGGAGTCGCCGAGGCGATGAGAGACTCATGTCGAGTAAACCTTCCGATAGCCGAGGTCGTTCAGATGGTTGCCGATGGCCATATGGGTGACTCCAAGTGCAGTCGCCGATTTGCGAGTGGTGGCGTTTGGCTTCGCGTTGAGGGCGTTCCACAGGGCTTCGTCACCGACTGGAGATGGACGTCCTGAGCATTGTTGATCTCCGAAGGTCGTGTCGCCAGACTCGAAGCGTTTGAACCATCGAGACACCGTGGAATAGTGGACGACGTTGCCCTAGAATGCAGCGCAGATATTGTCCACGGCGGCTCTCGCAGAGTGTCCTTTGAGGAACTCGTAGTAGACGATGGGGCGATTTTTTGCTGGTTCGATCGGAGCCATGGCTGCCAACTAATGGCAGAAGCCACCTTATATACCCCGAGGGCAGAAGTTTCGAGAACATTCCAGCATATACAAATGCCCATCATTCCTTTGAAAATTTTTATAAATAGTTTTAGAAAGTGTTGCAAGACTTTCTTTCCAACCCAATAAATTCACATGTCTTCCCAATTAGCCGGGCTTCCCTTACGGGAATTCCATATGCAGATTTATTGCGGATTATCAAATATGGCCATACAGTCGTGCTTAGCTCGGAGTGTACATGGTGCAAATAAAATGTTTATACGGGAGACTGTATTTGGAAGCCGTTCAGACCATATGTTTTGGCCATTCTTAATGAATATGTAACTATACATGGTTCATATATAAGCCCCTTATATGGTGCCTAGCTGCAATGTATCAGGGGGACCGGAAAGTAATGTTTTTTCTATTGATCACAAACATTTGTTTTTACAAGAATTTCTTTTTTTAGTTTGAATCAAGTATGTAATCCCCATCATTATTAAGGACAGTTTCCCATCTTTTTAAAATCAAATTTTGAACTCCCTGTTTATAGAAGGAGGCTTCCTTTGAGGCAAAGAATTCCGAGAGAGTCGTTTTGATAACATCAATCTTTCTGAAAGTTTTGTCACTAAGAAACTGCTGCAGAGATTGGAATAAAAGATAATCTGATGGGGCAATGTCCGATGAGTATGAGGGGTGAGGTAGGACTTCCCAAACCAAATCTTTCATCTTCTGTTGGGTCATTTTTGCAGAATGTGGTCTCGCGTTGTCGTGCTGCAGAATTTCCCCTTTTCTGTTGACCAGTGCTGGACGTTTCTCAATCAGAGCCTGGTGTAAACAGTAGAATTGTTGATAATAAAGGTCTGCAGTAATGGTCTGACCTGTCTCCAATACCTGAAAGTGTATTATACCGACACTGTCCCACCAAACGCTCTACAGGACATTCTGTGGGTGTAGTATGCCTGGTTTTGCTGTTGGAACCGGCTGCTGGCAAGGGGATAGCCACTGGTTCTTCCACTTGGTGTTGACATAAAGCACCCATTTCTCATCTCCAGTGAGAATTCCATGAAGAAATCGTTTTTTCTCTTGTCTCGTCATTACTGAATTGCAAATTCTTGCGCGCTGGGCTTTGTTCTCAGCTCAGAGTTGGTGGGAAGCCCAAACGCCTTGTCTATTAACCTTCCCGATCTGTTGAAGGTGTTCTTGAACACTGAACCATGACGAATTGAGTTTTTCTGCTAATTGTTGGATGGTTTGACATGTGTCTGACTCATTCTCCGACCTCAGGAGATCGTTGTCCAGCTTCACCGATCGTCCCGAACGATGGTCATCCGAGAGATCAAGATCGCCTGACCGGAATTTTCTGAACCAACGGTAGCATTTGCGGACATCCAATACATCAACATAAACATCACAAATGTTCTTGGAGGCCTCCGTTGACTTACTTCCATTACGAAACTCATATAGCATACAAGGTCGTATATGGTTCTCTTCAGGAATGTGGCCAGACATTTTTGCAGACAATTTTGAAAAAGTTTTGTCATCGAAATATGTATGTTTTCCTTTGCAAAAGCAAAGGAAAACACGCCAAAAATAACGTTTACATTTTGGTTACAAAAAAACGACATTACTTTCCTGTACCCCTTATACTGTATACTGTATGACACATTATTTGGCATGTTTTGGCCATCTAATATATATAGACGATCCTGACTGACTGACTGACTGACGCTAATTCTAACCATGTTCCAGGAATGTTAGAAATCTGAAACATGGTACACATGTACCTTTTGGGGTGCAGAGGTCATAAAAAATCCGACTTTGGAGGTACATGCACTGGGGGTACACAATTTGCGGGGAGAAGTTTTTTTAAAATATATATTGTGATGGATAAGGATGTCATTGAGAGATGCTTCAACAAGTCCAAGTTTCGGTGGTGTAGGGGTAACACAGCGGACTGGTAATCGTTAGGCCCGGGTTCAATTCCTCGCCATTCCATGCCTTTCTTTTTTATACTTCTCTTGCCTTCCATGTCCCGTTGCTTGAATAAAACGGAAAGACATGGAAAGCTGAAACCTGTCATGGAGGTTCCTACCAAGACGATAAGTTCAGGAAAAATGCAAAATTCCATACACTTGGGGATGGTTTTTGGGGCCGACGTTTTCGAGTATTTTTTTTTTGTCCTGGCGTATTGAGCTAGTGTGGAAAGATGAAACTTATTTATTATTAAATTATTTCCTTGATACTACCCTTTTAGTGCCCTCTCTTGGATCGGAATAGGCAGTCAATCGTCTCAACGATGCATTTTACATCTGATTGCTAATTGCATTTTCTTACTGATTCTATCACTCACTACTTACTGATACTTCCATTAGCCATGAGGGAAAGGCGTCCGAATCCGTCGAATGGTGCATGTGATGTATCGATCGCAAGTTCTTGATGAGTATATTGCGTTAGTGCATATTTTCCCTGAGTAAGATGAGAAAAGTAGTAATTTTAATGCAACGTGGGTGCCTCTGGATGGGCAAACATGAAGTAGCGTGAGCGCGAACGTTCAACATGGTATAGCAACGTTGAATGGAGGGAGAGAGTGCCCGTTTTCATTGGACGAAAAAAGCCTTATGTGTGGGGATAGTTGCAGGCCTTATATGTTCCAGGTTTGGTGGTGTAACGGTTGCCCACCAGACTAACAATCAAGAGGCACGGGTTCAAGTCCCGACCGGTCCCCTGGCTATCTGTCGTCCTTTTTTTCTCCCAGACTTCCCGTGTCATCGGTCTTCATGACATGGCCTGTATTCCCCATAGAAAAACTCAATCACCTGAATGTTCGGCCCTGAAACTCTTTCACTCAGTGCTTTTGAGTTTTTGCTATATACCCTAACTAACAAACCTCAGAGAAAAAAGGATCAAGCGAGCCGCATTCCTTTTATTCAATATGTTTGGCCGAACGAGAGAGGAAGTCAGCCTAATTTGAGGGATGATGGATCAGTTGAATTAGAAAATAATCGTGGCAGAAGGCCGCAACCATTTTCTAACCTAGCTGACCCATTATTTCCCAAAACGGGTTGACACTCTCACTCTTTGGCCCTTGACTGAACTGGAGGAAAAATATTGAGGTCTTCTAACCGTGTCATTAAGAGCTTTACCAGAACAGCGAAGACAAGACCAAAGATAACCTGACTCGAGTACAGTTCGCATGCCTGGGATGGTCATAGCAAAGCTACCAGACTCAATGGCCCGGGCAGGGGCGCCGAACTTCCTTACTTCCTTTCTTTGAATGCCCATGTAAAACGTAACCATTGTACAGTATAAACACATTATTTGACACACTCTTACTTCAGCTCAGTTAGCTGAACCATATATCACTGTAACCTATGCATACAGTATTTCTGTGCGATATATCCCATCCAATATTCTGCAGATAGTCCTCTTCGGAAGTCATCCCAACCAGGAATTCTTTATGTGTGTTCAAATTGTGTTATAACCGAAGTGGATCCCGTGCACGCGGGTGCGATCTATCGATATAATAATAGCCGACGTCCTTCGTCAGTCTGTCTGTCTGTCCGCCGCAGGTTCTACTGGGGTCAACATTTTCGAATTTGACTCGATTGGTCCGATTCGATTCGTGATCTTACCCGGCCCCACCCACGGGTCGTGTCGGGTCGCTCGGGCAGACCCGCAGCTTGCTTAGGTCTCTTAAGCTTCAAAAATCGTGGTCTCTGGGTTTGTTCTTTTTCAAGGCGGTTTGCTGACGCTATCCCATGAAGTCACATTCGTGCTGGCCTGTTCAGTGCTCTCATCGGGCACAACGGTCCGCCAGCAGCAGTAAGCGGCTGGATGAAAAGGTCCTCTGAAAGCGTATTCGCCTGCAGCAAACAAGGACACTAAATTACGCACTGAGCTGCTTTCCCGATCCGTAGGTCGGGCCAGTTCAATAGACCTGATCCGCATCCCTTGCATGGTTCAAAATCATCACTTATCCAATGCCCGGGTGCTCGAAATGGCAACTGTGTCTCATTTGAATGCTACGAGGCGGAACTCGCTGAGAAATTGAATTCATACAGTTGAGGGTTCCATGATGACGTAAGGCATCTCCTTTTACGGATCCAAAGCGGGCACTTTGAAATTCGAACTTCATCCCTTTACTAACTGCATTTTCTCTTACTGCAAATAAAAACTAACCTTGAGTTCTTCATGTCTGTTGAAAATTTGTCACCAACAAAGCGGATCCCGTGGGACGCGAGTGTGGTCTAGTTTAATTTACATTGGGCATATGTAACTATATATTATTGTATACTGTACAGGTCCCTTATACGGTTCTTAATTTGCAGCATAGTTGGTCCCCGCATGCATTATTAATGGGAGATTGAACCAGAGGCCCAGAGACAGAGTCACTCAACATCAAAACTTTGACAGGCTTTTCCGTGACTCATCTCACAAGGGAAATCACACTCCCTCTATGCATTGTGCAAGAAATACCAGGCTACGCCTCTCAACGTAAGCATTGATTAGAACGACCTCCTTCCTTCGATTTGTACGTGGGAAATGATCGAGTTGAGGGTGAAAGCTTCTGCAGAACTATTCATTTGCATTTGGGGATTCGGGAGACAACGGTGGGATGAGCGAGACCTTGCTATATTGTAAGAAAATTATATTTATTGGACGAACTGCTAGATGGCATGCCATATGGAAGGCCTCAACGCTCATGCATGTGCTTCCATGAACATTACATGGACTGAACATTTTCCAAATATGTTCCAAATACGATATTTTCTGTATAATTTATATTCGTGTCACATACATTGCAAACTTTGCACCATACTAGTATAAGGGGGACTGTATATGAATCATACGAGTTACGCCTGTTTTGTTTTAAAATAAAAAAAATAATTAACCCAAATATACCCTTGAAACTTATTCTACTTTCCAACTTAATCTCCTCCTTTGTCACTGCTCTACCCACTTTTGTAAGCACTGGGAGAACTGTTCTTTGGTGGTATTTAGAAACCACTGGAGAATTGCTGAACCGAGTGCCGATCTGGAAGGGAAAGAAGTCCGCCACAAGTGATTTTTTTAGTAATTCCAAAATAGCCAAAAGTCGCATGGGGTAGGTCTGTGGAGTAGGGAGGGTGGCATAACGTTTCGATGGAATTTTCGATAATAATAAAAAAATGCAGTACAACGCGTGCTCCGTGAGGTGGAGCGTTATCGTGGTGCAGGATGAATTTTCCCACCAGATTCGGTCTTTTTTCTACGATCGCCGGCAACAGGTCATCCCTCAAAATGTTACTATATCTCTTTCCATTTATCGTGGTACCCTTTGGAACAGGATATAACAGTATGGGACCTTCCTTATCCCAAAAGCATGCATACAGGACTTTTTCTTCTGACACACCGACACGATATTTTCGTGGTGCTGGTGAGTCCCATGTTTCCATTGTTTGGACTGTTTGGTTTCCTGGTTGAACAGCGGAATCCAGGTTTCATCTTCGGTGATAACGCGTCCCAAAAAGGCCGAAACCAAAAATTCGCCCGATATCGCGTTAGATTTTTGCATGCGTCGCTATGAGCTTGTTTTTTTGTCATCTGTTGAAATCCGTGGCAATCACCTGGCGCTCTCCTTCGACATATTCAAGTCTTAGTGAATGATTTTGTGAACCGTTCCGTGCGACAAACCGACCTTGCCAAAATTCCATCAATGGTCAACCTTTTGTTCTCCATAATCAACTCTTCAATGCGATTTTGGCAGCAGTAGTGAATGACATCCTGCACATACATCTTGATCAGAGGATGGCAACCAGCCGATTGGTCCCTCATGATCTCACCCCAAGTCAAAAGTAGGCCAGGGGTGAATGGTGCGAATACATGCTCCAGATGTTAGACTCTGGGTCTTGAAAAACCATCTATGACATTAGCACAGATGATGAATCCTGGATACATCAATTTGACCCAGAGCGAAGCGGCACTCTATTGTCTGGCTCTTCCCTTGTGAACCTACTCCAACCACAGTACAGTGGGGCAGAAGCGTTGAAAGGGAAAATGGGGACTAATTTCTTCTCTTTCACCTGTCACATAGCCACCATGTCTCTTCATGGTCAAGAGACTATGACCTCGAAGTGGTACATGGAATCCTACCTCCCAAAGGTGTTCGAATCTTTCAAGAATCGGAGGCAAAAGTCACCCAAGCAGCATGTTTACGTAAACAAGATATCAATTTGTTGGAAACAATGTAAATTTGTTGTGATTGCCATAAAAGTGACATGACGTTCACGTAAAATTTACGTTCCTATATGTACGTCACCAAAGTGTTCATGTATTTTACATAAAATAGACGTCACTCCATCTGATGTGAAGTACATGATATCAAATGTATGCAAAGTTAACATCACACTTTTCATACGAAATTTTAGCTGACCATCCCGCAGTTGCAAGACCAAGATTCCTCACTAGATGGAACCCTTGTTCCCTGCACCCTACAAATGCTATTAAGTACTGGCTTTCCCGGTGTAGTATCAGGGTTTCTTACCATCCTTCCGCTTTTTATAATGCAATCCATGAGTATATACTGTATATGGAAGGCAGGAAATTATTGCATATTTTAAATAATATATAACTCAGGGAATCATTAAATGCTGAAGCTAAGTCTGTTATTACAGCAGTGCACGAGAATAGGGAAGCGAAGAATCCCAGCTCCAAAAGTACTATACCTTCTTTATCCTTAATGGAAGAGAGCTCTTCTAAACATCTATTCCTCTTCCCAAGGTCCTGGTACGGGAAGATGAACTAGTGCGTCAGCTTGGTACTCTCGAGTGCTGGTGAGGATGAGTACTTGTGTTCTCGTGTATACGTCCAAATAACCTTGATTTCCAAAGTATTGAAAGAAATGGGAGAAATACGGAGTATCGATTCCCTTTAAAAGTACGAATTGGCTCGTTAAATATGCATGAATGTTAGGGAAAAGTTAACATCAATTTTATGCAAAATAAATTTAAACATGCTGTTGGTGAGGTAAACGAAATATCAATTTTACGTATTTCGTTATTTACGAAATTTACGTTTTTATTTTATATCACCGTTTACGTATTACAGAGGTTACATTTCTGCACACATGTTGACATTATCTTGATGATGGTTTGCATAAAATACAAGGTGTCCCACTCATCGCGGACGATTTTAATCGCGTATAAAAGTCTTCCTATTTGAGCAAACTAAACAAAAATTTCACAACATTTAGGCAACTGTTTAGCATTTGTTGGGACAAAGTTTCAGGCAAATCAAATACACCAATTACGATCTATGAACTTCAACGTGGCCCCCCCCTCGATTTCAAGCACTTTTCCCAAACGTTCGCCGTATTCAAACAGCATTTTCTCGCGCATTCCAACAATAATGTCTACAAACGCCGCGGTAATTCGTTTCTTCAGTTCGGGAATTTCACTCGGTTTGGTCGAGTAGACTTTCGACTTGACAAAGTCGAAAGTCTACATGAAGAAGTGAAGTCTGACATGAAGAAGTCGCACGGCGTCAAGTCCGGCCCGCCCCACCTCATTTTAACAAAGTAGTTTCTTACATGGCTGAAAACAGTTTCCGGATCGAAGGATAGGTCTCGGATCGCTGGCTATGCGCTGGTCGGCCTATTCTCCTGTCTTAACGCCGTGCGATTTCTTCATGTGGGGCTTTCTCAAGTCGAAAGTCTACGCGACCAAACCGAGGGACATCCCCAAACTGAAGGAACGAATTACCGCTGCGTTTGTAGACATTACCGCTGAAATGCGCGAGAAAACGCTGCTTGAATACTACAAATCATTGGGAAAAGTGCTGAAATCGATGGGGGCTACGCTGAAGTTCATAGCTTGTAATTGGTGCATTTAATTTCGCTGAAACTTTGTCGCAATAAATGCTAAACAGTTGTCTAAATGTTGTGAAATTTTTCTTTAGTTTCCTCAAGTAGGAAGAATTTTATACGCGATTAAAATCGTCCGCTATAAGTGGGACACCCTGTAGATATAAAATGAACAAAAAATGTATATTCATTTTACGTTAATATAAAATTAATATAAGATATAAAAATTTAAATAAACATGCTGCTTGGGCACCTTTGAAATCATGGATTCTCCATGATAACAACGCGTCCATTCACACAGTCGCCCTCACATCGGATTTCCTGCATGAACCTGGCATCAGGGTGTTCCGACATCCACCATTTAGTTCAGACCTGGCCCCGTGTCATTTCTTTCTCTTCCCAAGTGGTAAATAATCGCTTCGTGGGCAAGGTTTAAGTCTCCAGAAGAAACAGTTGCTGAATTTATTTCAATGATATTGGGTATCCCAACATGTGAGTGGAAAAAATGCTTCGAGAAATGGTTTGCAAGGATGAGAACGTGCTTTATTACTCAGGGAGAATGTATCGAAAAGTGTAATGATTGAGTAACTCTACAGGTTCCTTGTTTCTAAGATTCCTACAATTTTATTACCACGATTTGAAAGTTATGATTTTTCTCCGATAACTTTCAGCTTATAATTTTGTTATTTACTTGTTCAGGCGCCCATCGACGTATATTCTTTAGGAGAATCCCAAGGAAATGGAGCGAAACCAATGGATGCGGCACGTAAGACTTACATCCCTTTGTCTTGTTGGTGTCATTACATGTCAAGTGATCCAATATTCAGAACTGACTTATGAAACCAATTGGGACTTTGCAGAAAAAATGTCAACGAGTATTACATGAAACCAGTGAAAATGATAGGTTTTACTTTCTAATTCAGGTCAAATGGTTTTCACGCCTTATTCCTCTCATATTTGAATAGGGGAAATAAAATGACCCTCAAAATCCTAAAAATCCTCACCCAAATTATACTTCAGCGCAAGAGTTGCGTGACAATTCGCCTCAAAGCTTGAAAACTGGCCAGTATACCTCATTTAATATTTGATTCCATATATCAATTAGGAAACAATATCTAATAGTTTCTAATATTGTTTCTTTTCAGAATTTTTTAAAAGTCAACCACTAAATTTTCAAACAAAAGGAAATGGGTTTCAGGTTACTATAATGCCTCTTTAGGCTATTTTAAAAATAAATTCAGGTCTTAGTTATTGGAATAGTTCAAATACAATGTAAATACAAATACACTGTCATACGTAATTGGCGAGTACCGCTTATAAGTTTCGCGTGAAGGTAAAAACCCAAGTAGCTGAAATATGAACTAAATCTATTGGACATACCCTCATGGACACTTGGACATCCAATGTATATCCTCCTCGGACATCCCCTGGATGACAAAATGTCTCGTCCAAGATAAATCACTGGACATGTTCATTCAATGGACAATTGGATGTCCGTCTCTTTGGATCCATTGAAGATTCCCTTTGGGAATGCTTTTGGATGACCATTGAGGGGTACAGCGATAGTAATACTATGGTAGCTATGGTAGCTTTGGAGCATAATTTGCATGCTTAAGAATATTCATGCTGTGGGAAAGGAGCATTTTCTGCATATCGACAATCAATCCCTCACATCCTTGGGGGAACTAGGAGAGTTGTGTTTGGATGGAAAGTGAAGTATTATTGAGCCGAAACTCTCTTCTTCTCGTCCTTATCTCACAATCAAGACATTATTTTCCCCATCTCTATAGACGACGTGGTTCATACGGGGAAGGAACAGACTTACTTGACAAGGAGAATCACACTCTCACCATTCAATGTTCAAGAATTGCCGGGAGTCTCCTTGAGCTATCTTACGTCTCTCAACAAATGAATTGGAATGACTTCATTCCTTAGGCTTGTACGTGGGAGATTATCCAGTAGAGGATGAAAGCTTACGCAGAACAATTCGTTAGCATTGTGGGAATGTGGAGACACACATCGGCGGGATAAGCGCGACCTCGCTTATATTATGGGAACTTTATATTGCTTGAATTAACTACTACATGTCAGATCAGATGGAAGGCCTCAATGGGGCGGGGATTCCATTCAAGGACATCCAATGGAAGAACATTAGAAGTTGTCCTTGAAGGTTCCATTGCTGGACGTCCAATGGATGCCCTAAGAAAGACTGACGCATCGTTTCGTTCGTATTGTCGAAATCTAAATGAAAGCATGCACTGGTCCAATTATAATGTCACACTATCCATATTTTGATTGAAATTATTGGGTTGCGACCTAAGATGGGAGATTAGAGGAAAAATGACAAAATAAATCCCACGATCGGATCCTCTTAACGCAATTCCATAAAACCTTAATTCAATAAGATGGAAATAATTAAGTGTTCCACGTAGGGAAATTCTGCTGGAATAAAGCTCAGAATGCTTGAGAAGATATCGATCCATGGCGATGGCAACTTATGTACATCCAACCGACAACAGCCTCTGGACTTGTATCCATCTCTGGACAACTAGACTGTCCATGGACGAGTTTTTTTTATCACCCGTGGCTACTTGGGAAATGAATCATTCATGAAATGATTCGAAACAAAATTTTCTTAAGAAGTGAAGTTCTTCAATTGGCATTAATGTGAAAATCTGAATTTTAAGCGTACTCTTCAATTAGAACATCACAAGCAATATTCACCAAAAGTCCCTAACCGCTTTCTGCTGGAGTTCCATATTAGGAATGAGGATAATATTTCCTAAAACTTTCGCATTCAAAAATAATTAGGAAGCACATGCAATCTGGTGAAGAAAACTTTAGGGAAGTTCGAATAGATTCAAATCCATGAAAAATACATAAACAAATGAATTAAATCATGTTACGTCAGACCTTCTTCCTTATTCCTGGACAATGTCGTTGGATACGTAAACTTTTTATTTAGGATAGATGTCTCCCATCAACCCATACTGTCGACCTCTTCATTAGGTGAGATTAACTATATTTGGCATATTTGGAGAACTGCAGAAAAAGACTTCATATTCCATTTGGTTCGAAAAAAATTATTTCTGCAAATCATATGTATGAGATAATGTGTCATGGATTTTCCCACAGAATGCATTCATTTATGCTCAAACGTCTTCTACCATCATTCAGTCTCATCCTCCAGTCTACCCCGTTCAACTTCACAAGAGAGACAAAGAAGGTGAGTTGCTGTTCATTTAATACATATTGGGGATTGGGTAACTTGGGGGAATATGGCCCTCCACAATGATTCCCCTTACGGACAGAATAACTACGAGGTAGTTTGGGCGAATTAAAAAAAACGTTCTAATACGTACATGCATTGTCGAAATGTTAAGACCTGTTCATTGATCCAGTTCTCACAAGAATTCGGGATGCATCGATGTCTTGAAAGTCATATTCATGCGATGCTTTGACTCATGACCCTGTTAGGTTAAGGCTAGGTTAAGGTTAGGTTAAGGTTAGGTTAAGGTTAGGTTAAGGTTAGGTTAAGGTTAGGTTAAGGTTAGGTTAAGGTTAGGTTAAGGTTAGGTTAAGGTGAGGTTAAGGTGAGGTGAGGTTAAGGTGAGGTTATAATAAAAAATGGAAGTAAGACGTTTCTTGGTTTCTTGTTTCATCTCAGGTTCAGCCATCATTTTCTGGAATCCTTAGATGTGCTAATTGTAGGAATTGGTCTTCAGCGCAGAAGTATTGACGATTTCATTTCCATGAGAATGGCCCCCTATATCAAGTGTTCCCTAATTACAGCCATTAACAAAAGGTAGCTCCTACAATCGCATGTCTACCGCAACTTGCGATTGCTTGCCAATGATTTATTCTTTCATTCCTAGTAGAGATATTCTATGAAGCAGATGATGTGGAGGACTGAACCCTTCTCACAAAATATCCAAATATAGTTGCCAGATTACCATATTCCCTGGCTCTACCATTAATGACAGAATATATTTTATTCACAATAGGCATTTTCTAGAAGATAAACGCAGTTTGCCACATGGAATGCACCGTTTCCATGTTATACAGTATATTGATTCATGAAAGTCAAATGCGCCACTGTCCTGCCAGAAATGGATGCAAGCGACAAAAGGCATAGGACTTGGAAGAAGCCTATTGAAACCTGCACTTCGAATGAAACCACATCCATAGTAGCACATAGCATTGAAACAACATGGATTCAATGTATTGCCTAAGATAAGTCAGATTTAGCGCGAAAGTCTAAGTCAGACTTTCGCGCTAAATCTAATCACAAATCGCGCTAATCACAAAAGCAATGCAACTGGCCGCTGGACTCGACACCTTTCATGATTCGGCATTAAAGACCCGAGTGATGGACTTGGGCCTAGTCTGAACGCATATTAAGCTGAATACAGATCTTAGAATTATACAGGATGGGCCAAAATATGTGCCCACATTTTGAATAACTGCATAACTGAAAGAAATAAAATCATATATTAGCATTAATTTTTATATGTAATACAATCTTTTGCATTAAGTATGTTATCTTATCTCTTAACACATTTTTGGTTCACTGGAGATGCTCAAATTGGCATCCACAAGCATTTGAACATTGAAATGACAATAATGACAAAATTACAACGACTGAAAGAGCGGGTAAATTTTCTTGGGTCACCCTGTTTATATACAGTAACTATGGACATAATTTGAACGGTAGTCCTTTGTTGAACCGAATTTCAAAAATGCCATTGAAAATATGCAATCATGAGCACCAGCATGAAAACTTAGGTTGCTTAAATTATTTTCATTTTTTTTTATTCTACCATAAACAAGGAAAAACATGCAGTCCGTTTAGGTCAAACTACATTTTGAGAGCTCTAGCACAAACTGTTTCACACACCTTTGTCTTCATCACACCAACTGTCATAAGTGTCCTGGCGCCTATCTAATTGTGCTCTATTGTTTAAACTTTCTAATTTTTAAAAGGGATTGACTCCATGACATAATATTTGGTACCCTCACCTCTCTCTGTTCATTTTTGAACAAGGACTTTAGTCTATGTCCAGGAAAGGACATCAGATCCAGAAGGGGAACTAAAACTTCATAGAATCCGTGCTAAACAAAATAAATAAAACATGTTATTAATAATACACCCAATACAATGAGAATTTAAAAATTCGTTCCAAGTTTCATCAGTTTACCTTTTCCCAAAGACCGCAAGACACCATGAGCATATAATTTTACATATTTCCCGTGAATCATGACAAAGATAGGAGCTGCGTTCTGATTGGCCGGCGACGGTCCGTCGCTAGACGCATGTTATCAGACCTGGTGGATCATTATACCAAAGAGAACTGAACTACATTCCATAGGTTACATGAATCCAGCTCAGACATCAATCTTCATCGTAGATTGCACAGTGGAGAGGCAGTGGATGACACCTATCCAAATTCATCCAAACCGGTAAGCATCATGCCATCACATTCGTTCTCATTCTCTCATCCTCAGCAGAGACTCCTATAAAATAATTAAGCCTTCGTACCAAGTCACATATGGTTTTTGGAAAGTTCTGCAGCCGATGATTCATTTAAAAAGGAATAAATAGCAGAGGAAAGCGTGAGATTACTTTCCTGCAAAATACGCCCCTTGTTCCACGGAAGGAAAATCATAAATATATATGCATGTCTTTGTGCATAATTACGTGAGATTTACTCAGTGTGCCAGAAATCATAATAAGGCCCTATTCCACAATTCAACTAACCTCTTTCGTCGGGAATTATCCCTTTAAAAGCCATTAACTTGCTAGCGCACACATGCAGCAGCCTGGCGGTGTCCCATGAATGCATCTAGTGTTGTCAACGTACTGGCGTTAATGGGTTGAGACTTGCGGATTCTATGAGGAAAAGCCTAGATTTAAAGGGAAAGGGAAGTTTTATTATTTCTGAAAACATAACATAGAAATCTACTTTATTGTTGAAGGCGAACAGACGGTTTGGAAAAGTTCAATAATGTCATGTGCCATGGTCTTATGATTCACCATCATCGAGCATCAATTATTGAAGTCTGGCATTGCAGCGGATGGTATTCGGGGTTGGAAAATGACTCCAACGTGCTTGAATATCGGATAAACCAGTTCACATGTTCAGTCAGCAACACTGTTAATGCCGCGTCGTAGAACTGCACTCTCCATTCGTCAACGGTGTACCCAAAAGCTGTGAAAACTGAAAGGGAACTGGCGGCTATGAAGAGAAACACCTCCACGGAGGCTGAAAGTTACACATGAGAATTATAACGAGAAGAATGCATCCTAATGGCAAATGCGGACGGATGGAATGAAAAGCAATTCGAAAACCATCATAGTATCAGACTATTTTCCGTGGGACACTCCGAGAATAACAGATAAAAACCACGCTAAGACAGTCCCTCACCTTGTGCGAATTCGTCAAGATTGCTACTCTGAAATGCATCAGGTGATAATCGTGCCCAACAAAGGACATGCGGGTAAGGTGAGGGATAGGTTCGGTCTGTCGTCCGCTGCTAGCACTATCGAAAACATTTATATCGCGAGAAAGCTAAACTCAAGTTAGGTAAAATGAATACAAAAATGGGTGTATGTGCTTCTTACAATACTTAAGGAAAAATGAATCCGAATGACGAAGTTAACAAAATAAATGTGCCTACGTAGAACGTGATTTATAATGCAAACATAATAAAACTTTTTTTTTAATGCAGCGCAATTCACGCGGGATAAATACTCTTTCATATTTCATTATAATACATTTTTCTTCATTATCATGATAAACTAGGTGAAGGTGCTTGAAACACAGCTCGCCAAAGAGAAGGCCAGATGTAAGGAATTTGAGGAGCTTCTCAAGCTTCAGCTCTCCATGCATGATGAGCAAGAGGGAAAGAAAAGCAAGATCGAATTGGAACTAAAGGAAACCAAAGCCCAGGTCTCATTCCATACCATATTCTTCCGCTGCGGATATTCTATTAACATTCACTCTTCTCAGGTCTATCACAAATTAGAGTGAGTAAGCATATATCTTTCCTTCATCGGTAGTACAAGTTAATTGGGATAGATGGGAATCTTCACTGATATCATTTTATAGATTTAATTTAAAATTCCCTGTCAGGCTGCACTATTTCGGGCAGATACTCCAGGAACCTTCAAGATTGGTAGTTCACTAGATCACCTAGATCACTTGGCAGCATATATCTTTCCGCCACTCGCAATGGTGCCAAAATGTAAAAACGGCGAATTTAATGATCAAGAAAATGTAGGAGTGAAATCATGAAGGTGGCCAGAAATTTGAAAATCTATTAATCTATCTCTTACACCCACCCATCTGCACAGGTGATATTAATGAGGCATATGGCTTCGCAGGATGTGATCATAGGAGTGCATTCTTCCATCGAATTTACAGAGGAAAAAATCCATCTGCTCTTGGATCGAACAACTTACAGTAAATTAGCATTTCAAGTACTTTCATTTCACCCAAGAGTAGGCATTAGTGTCTCCAGTGCAAGGGAACATAATTGCGGGTCATCAGTATCTCCTGGAAAGACTTACGACAGTTAACCCAAGCGTAGTCAACATTTTTCTTGTGTAGCTTTCCCAGAGCGGTGAAGAGTCTAACATTTTCTGGGAAGCTTATTTCCGGCTGCCCAAAAAAGGGTTAAAGGCATTCTTTGCATTCGGAGGCAAGCAATTCTGATGCACACCTCACGTTTCTCATGCACTTCTCACCACGCAAATATTGGGTTGGAAAGAAAGTCTTGCAACACTCTGCACAAATTTTTCAAAATTTTATAACTTTATTGAAATGCAATTTCAGTCTATAATGCAATGACCATTGTTGTCTATGACATGTTCCCAACACACGGGTAACTGCTCGATGCCCTTCGCCCAGAACTCTGGCGATTGAAAAGCGAAAAAACGGCCGACATCATTTTCGAGCTGTGCTCGATCGTCGAAGACCTTGTCCCGCAGGTGATTCTTGAGGGCCCGGAACAAGTGATAGTCGGAAGGGGCCAAGTCCAGAGAATACGCTGGATGTGGTATAACATCCCAGCCCAGTTCCAAAATCGTCTGGCGAGTCATCTTCGCAACATGTGGACGAGCATTGTCATGCAGAAGGAGAACTTTGTCGCATTTGGGACGCTCTTTTTGAATGACGCCAGCCAACTTTCCGAAGGTCGTGTCGCCAGATTCCAAGCGTTTGAAGCATCGAGACACCTTGGAATAGTGGACGACGTTGCCCTCGAATGCAGCGCAGATGTTGTCCGCGGCGGCTCTCGCATTGTCCTTGGAGGAACTCGTTGTAGACGATGGGGCGAAGAGTTGCTCGTTCTATCGGAGTCATGGCTGCCAACTAATAGCAGAAGCCGCCTTATATACCCCGAGGGCAGAAGCTTTGAGAACATTCCAGCATATACAGTACAAATGCAAAGCCCCGCCCAACATTCCTTTGAAAATTGTTATATATAGTTTTAGAAAGTGTTGCAAGACTTTCCAACCCAATACATTTAACAGTTAGAGCCCATGTACGTACTGAATCTGCTATTTTAGTGTTAATGGCAACGATTGGCATTTTAGGCAGTGATTTACGCGATTCACTGAGATGGACCATCATTTATTGAAGTTTGGCATTGCTACAGTAGAGATTTGAAGGTGGAAAGTGCAATACTAAATAGAGCATTTCATTAGTTAATGCAGCAACCCTTACTACGCTGCATCGTATGGCAGCACTCTGTGCTTTTCAACCAATGGTGAGGGATGGCTTCAGCTGTTTCGCGTTTGTTATAACTATCGTAGGTTATAAATTTATGTCATTTGGAAGCTATACTCCTGTAAAGTAACAGCAGACAATAATGAGTAGCTTTATTTTAATAATGCACTTAAATATTATGAATTTGTATTCCAACAACGACAGTGACAACGAAAGAAATGCGCCCATGTAAAATGTGATTCAGAATGTAAGCATACCGTCAAGGTCCTTCTCACTGGGCGCAGGATATATTAAGCAATGCTTACTAAGAATTCATTAAAATAATTGTTTCTTTATCATCCTCCTTCACTAGGTGAATAGGCTAGAAGAATTGCTTGCTGATGAGAGAGCCACACGGAAGGAACTAGAGGAGCGTCTCAAGAGCGAGCTCTCCATACGTGAAGAGCTAGAGCAAAAGAAAAGCATGATCGAATTGGAGCTTCAGAAAATCAAACCTCAGGTAAATTATTCGGTACCATCTTCTTTTTCCAGGAATGATCATCCACTCTTCCGAAATCAATCACAAGTTTAGATGCGTCGAACATTTTCTTTGATCAGTATTACACGAACATGTTGAGGATGAATGTAATTCCCCACTGATGAAGTACTAAAAGATTTAATTCAAAATTCCCGGCTGGGTTGCTCCCTTTTGGGAACATCCGCCAGATACCTTCAACATTTGCTAGTTGGAAATTATTGTTAAAAGCAAAACGTCAAACCATTCAGCAAAAGCATATCACATCATATAAGAACAGGTTGCCTTACAAACGATTTTATTAGTGTGGGCTCGTGATACATAGATTTGGTTTGTTTAAGAAAGAGGGTACTCACCACCCACCAAACATACTAACATTCAATCAGCGTTGTATGAACGTTAATTTTGAACCTTCCCAGTGTTTAGTTCGCGTTGCAGCTAATATTTAGTCACTATTGCAATGTCGCTTATCTGGAACACTCAGATGAACGTTGAAGTTCACGTTGCCACTTATTTGAACCCTCAAGCCCACCCTTGTGGCATTCCACAATTGGTCAATAATGAAGGCAATGGGTTAAATATGCTGGAAGTACTAATCTTAGTACTTTACAGGGAACGTCTATTCTGCTCTGCAGAGTACAGAAATCATCCTTTCCTTTGCTGGAAGTGGAAAAATCATTCTTCCTCTTAAGTATGGAGAATAGAGCCAATATATATGATTGAGTTTGTAGAAACTCTTTTTTTGTATTTGTGCACTGGGATGCAAGGGTTTCTCATAAGGACTATGTGCTTTTTTATTGCATGGGCTCCATGTTTCTGTCTCGAATATATGGATAATGAATTAATAATTGTCAGATTTTATTGATTGCCATAAGGAGGCAATGAAAACATATGGTGAAGTAAGAAACACTCTTGTGAGGGATGTTTCCATGGAAAGAGGGAAGTGTACTTTTGTGTACTGTGCGAAAAGTAAAACCCATACCTCCATCTAGTGGGCAAGAGGAGAACTTCAGCATTTCCTCAAAATTAACTCCTCATTGGAAATTGGGCACATGCGATCATCGCGTCAGTCTGATATTGGATCGATGATGGAATGGCAAAAATGATGAAGTCAATATTGAGCCAATATTTAGCCGGTATTGGCAATAATGGCACCGTTTGCATGTAGACATCTTGCCCACTGTTGGTCCAGCATTCACCCAATATATGGTATTACCGGGGTAGTAACACTGGATAGGTTCTTTGTCGTTTGGCGGAAAAATTTTTTTTTTTCCCTATTTGGCGATGCAAATTCCATGAAACTACCATACAAATTATTTAAAATGCGATTTTAAAATATATCATGTATAAAACACTGCTAAAATATTCACTCAACGTTGACCTTCGACCTTCAACGTCGATGACACTGTATTGACTCTGGGGGAACGTTCCCACAACGTTACTTTGTTCGCTGGGCAATTCACTGGGAACTATGGGTCACCATGACGCAGTGACGGTTTCTTCATAGTGGCTAACCAAGTTCCGCTATATAGTATTCACAGAGTACACACAGTTCTAATTTGGAATAGCCCTACCTCGCATCAATAGCAGGAGATATTTATCACAAAATATCCCGGTTTGCTTTTCATTTCCATCGCAAACTCAATCCTCTCAGATCTTAGATGCGCACTTCCCGAAATTCATGCAAAAAATACCGGCAAGTTATACATATAAGTGCCACTCCTTTATATCCCAAGTAACACAATATATTCCAGCAACGCTTTGGAAATGTTGATGGACAATGTTGCATCTGTGTGTAAATGTTCAAAACGTCAGCGTTGGTCAAATGTTGCGAAGGAACATTGCATTGACGTTGCACATCGTTACTTATTCATTACATATACGTTGCAGAAATGTTTCAGGATTTATTTTGCTGCAATGTTGTTCAAAAACGTGGCTTCACGGTCACCTAATCTGGGTCTATATAGGCATTACGGTAAAGCATAGGTTTCACTGGCCCTGAACCGGACCGATATTCGACCAATATTGAATTATTTCATTAATCATTTCATCCCATATACTTTACCTCTCTACCCAGACGTTCCCATCAACAGCACGAAGCCTGTACTGGTATAACTTCTACCCATGCATAATACAGTCAGTACCAGTATCATATACAGGCAGGAGACGATACATTTTTGGAAACGATCTTACCCTGGATGTGCTAAATACACAGGTATGGCACATTTTAGGGAAAGGTCCGACTGCAATGTTCTATGGAGTGTCCACGTCGAAATCAGTTCTTCATTTCCTTGTCTAGTTCTCAGGATGAGGGTATGAAGGATTGAGATCACAGACTCTCTACCATCGCTATTATTGACCTGTAGGATGTAATCCACGACTTGTTGGAAATGGCCCTTTTAGGAGTATGAGCTTTTTTATCTTGACCCCATGAATCTGTCTCGAATATGAGAATAGCAAGTGATTAAGTGTCCGTGTTCATTGATTCCTATAATGAGACAATGCGAGACATACGGCAAGGTACTAAACATTCCTGAGCGGGACGATTCCAGGGAAAGGGAGGACACTTTTGTGTACTGTGAGAAAAGTGAGACCTACTCCTCCATCAAGGAGGCGTAGAGGAGGAGGTGGCAAGGAGGACAACTTTACGTTTCCCTAAAACGTCTAAGTTTATGTTGTATTAGAATGTTGTTGCAACGTTGTCGTGTCGATGTCAAGAATGTCAACATTCTCTCAATGTTGATAGCAAATATTGCAATAACATTCGTAGAAGTGTCGCAGCAACATTCCAAGTGAAAAATTGAAGCTATGTATATTACATCAATATATTGCATCAACTTGCAACAAGGACAACATTTCGGAAACGTTTCATCAACATACTATGTTACTTGGGATTGTTAACCAAAGCTGAAAGTACAGTGAGAACGCTTCATCTTTCAAAAAATTAGAAACAAGAAAAATGGACGGTGCCAAGTCAAAGGAGAACGACAATGGAACATCAAGAGGAACAAACACTGTGGACGCATGGCATTCCCAACGTGGGAATATGGCCTTCAACACATCACTCAAGTCAAACAATGCAATACTATTCCCCCTCGTCAAGTGGGTTCATACCCAATCCAGGACCAGGAATGATGAATCTTCCAGACCCACAATTGGAATATTTCAGTGTACAGAGTGGATATATGCCAAGCCAAAGTCCCCATGCTTGCCAGGAACCAAGCATTCAGCAGCAATTGCCGCAAAATCCACAGACTCTTGGAGAGAACATGACACATAATGCAGGGTAAATTCATATCTTTGTTGCATGACAATGCTCATAACATCAACCTGATCAGGATGAGATTTGATTGTTCTATTGATGAGCAGACAGCAGGGATTCCGCCATGGAGCAGGACCAATGCAAGCAGCTACATATCACATTAATCCATATCAGGGCAGCAATTCTGTAAGATTCTCACTATTTCCTCATGAAAAATTCTCTCATCGACTTTACAATTACCTTTTCTTTCAAAATAGTTTCCATCTGGAAAACCCTCTTTAATGGACATTGCGAAGCGAAACACCCAGGCAATGCAGGTAATAACTTTTTTTAATGACCCCATGTTATTTGTGTGGTGCTGGTTCTACAGAAGCGTACCTTTCTTGCAACTAATTAGATTAGTCACACCAAGGAGCCAGAGATAAAGGAAGAGTTGACTTTAGCCGAAAAAATGAAAAAGAAATGCAAGCGTATAGAGGGGAATATTTACCAACTCCCTTGGAAAAAAGTGATGCACGATGAGGACAATCGCTTGGTCAAGTATGCAATAGGCAGCATGAGGCCGGTTGCTGAAAAGGTACTCATGGTTGTCGGGGGAAAAATAGCAGGTATGTATGTTACAATCCATTCCTTGAATGTTTAACGCAATATGAATTTCAATATTGCACTGTATGCAAGGAAATTGTTGATGTGCAAAGGAATTGACACAACATGTTGTTTTAATCTCAAGTGTAGAAGGGAATTCACGACGAGTAAACTGTGAATCCTCCCCTTCACGATAACGCAATTTAAAACTCGAAATTCCCTTGGCTCTCCATACACAGGGTGTCTCAAAAAATGTATACACATTTTAATAAATAAAAAATATGTTAAGTAATTCAGAGAGGTACGATTTTCAGAGTGTGGAGAAGCAAGGGTTTGAATTGCATAGCTCACTACCACAGATGTTCAAGTTGTTCACCGTTAGCATCCAGGCACTGTTAACAGCAGTGAGCAACAGTGCAACAAACTTGTGGACAGGTCTCTGCTGGGATAGCAGCACAAGACTCGTCAATTTCATGCAATCGTGTGAATGCTTGCCTTGCAACATTTTCCCCATCTGTTGATGTGTGAGGTCTATCAGAACATTGCTTGTGCACTACCATACTAGCAATGTTCTGGGAGCACTATACCACAGCATCAAACTTATCATGAATTTATCAAAGTTCTAGTACATTATGGTGGCATAATGAAAATACATTATTTGAAAATTTATCCTTTTGAAATTTGTGTCCACATGGCATTTACCTCCAAAGTCGGATTTTTTCTGAACTCTGTATCCCAAAAGGTACATGTGTACCAAGTTTCAGATTTATAACCTTTTTAGTTAGAATTAGCGTCAGTCAGTCAGTCACGATCGTCTATATACAGTATATTAGATGCTTGGGCGTCTGTATCTCCGCAGTGCAATGTGCACATACGCGGAGCCTGCCCGGCTCAGGGTGTCAGTCTCGCTCTCTCTAGCTACCTTCCCTCTGGCTATTGCGGCTGTAGGATCCATTCTCGAGAAGTTAATAGGCCAGGGGTGGGATGAGTTCAGATGGCACGGCGAAAGAAAAAGAATGGATGTGCGGATATCAATCCGGGGGCTTCTTAATTGCCTGACAATTACTTTTCCACTACACCACAGAATCATATTCAAGCATTAATAATAAAAAACTTTCCATGCCACCCGTAACAGTACAACGGGAGAGATGCATTCTACGCACACTCCCCGCTCTCGATACGGATCCGTGGATCCCATACGCACTTTCCAGCAGGGACGTGCAAAGTGTCTCCAAGTATTACACTTGGGAGTCCCCTTTCATCCCTTAAGGAAGGATGACTTCCTCGCCCGGATGGGATCATATATTTTTCAAGATCTCGACCACTTTATCAATCCGAACCCCGTCCTTTTATTGATCGGCATTCTCATCACGCCGGGGTTTTTTTCTGGGGACTTTTCGAAATAGCACCATCCTCGATAGAGCGCCAAAATCGGCGAAGACCAACAGTGGCGGGGGAGTCGATTGTTCTATTTGTTTATTAGCATAGCGTTCGTTCGCAATGAAGAGTTCAAACACACTCAACGAGTGTGTTTGAAGCAGCAGGGAGGGGAGAAGAGTGGAAAGGGGGCCCTCATGTAAATATTGCCCCAGGCCTCACAATTCATTTTGGCGACCCTGACTATGTTATACGCTTAGCTTATGCCAGAAATGTTCAACTTGACGAAGCTGGCAGCCGGATGGGACCCTTTAGGAGTGGTTGGGCCCACATTCGCACATCTTGCACCAAAATTTCAATTGCTAACAGGTTGAAATAGTTTACGCTTTTTCAAAACCAATTGTTGAAGAGGACTTTGCAGGCTGGACGAAATCAAATAGTTGGCCGGCAGTGTGACACCCATGGCCTACCGACCGACCCGAAGTACGCTGAAGTCTTCCAGAGGTCATTCTCAAGAACGAGAGGCAAGTACTGCTGCTTTATATCGTTGAGAGGGCCGCTGAGTTTTAGGGTTGCTGAATGAGCTCGGGAATTCTCGAGCAACAGTCGAGGAAGACATCCGCGGCTAAGGTTGCCCGTCTCACGCTCGCGCTTTCTCGCCGGCCTTCGCAAAAGTCTTCAGAATAGGAGAGTCATTGTACGACTTGCGCACACCCCCATCCTCAACTAAGGGATGTTCACACCTCGATAAGAGCTTTCACACGGGAAAACCCACGCCCAACACTTGGAGTCCCATTTTCCTTCGTGCGAAAGAGAGTAACTACAAAGGGTAAAAGCGGCGGAATCCCATCAGTGTGGGATGGAACGGGATGGCTACTTGTTAGATTGCAAGGATGCCGCCGGTCAGGTCGTTACCATCCCGTATCCATATCCGTATATTTCACTCATTGGCTTGCAAGCAAAGTGTTGGAGATGGACTGTACGGACGAAGCGGACAGGGGTGTGATCGATAGGAAAAAGTGCCGATGAAAGTAAGTTGGAAGATCTCACCCTGACGAGAAAGTCATCCTCCCTTCAGGGGGATTAAAGGGGACTGCAAGGGTTGTACGTTGGGACATGTAAATAATGGGAAAGAGGGACTGCTGCCTATAGCGATGAGAGAGCCACTGAGTTTTAGGGCCAACGAATGAACTCGGAATTTCTTGCAGAAGAGTTCGTGGAAGTCTTCCATTGGTCGGCTAGTTTTCTATATTCCTCTACAGATCCCAAAGTTCAATTCGGATCTATCACGGGATCAGGGGATATCGACAATAATGCGGCAGTAAGTTTCCAACGTTCCTGAGAAAAGTTACTAGAAAAACTTTGATTCATCCAATTTGAGCAAAATCGTTTGCATATACAGGGTGTGCCAAAAGTTGTTAGACAGTCACCTGACCATGGACTTTTTCTCTTGAAGCGTCGTGACGGACAAGGTGTACGGCAGGAAGCCTCGTACCATCAACGACCTCAAACGCTTCACCACTGACGCATTTTTCAGGAAGTGGATGCAAACAAAGATCTTTATGACAAAGGGTGTCGCAGTGTGGCAGACAGACTCCAGGAATGTGTGAACAATGAGGGCATACTCTTTGAGCATCTAATGGATTAACATTTCCATGTGTCTCTTTCACAGTTCATACATACAATTGTATACCTACTTTCGGCACACCCTGTATATTTCAATTGCAGTCAGGTTTGTTTCAAGAGTCAGGTTTGTTTCAGAAAGTTTATGAAACTCTTGTAGGTTCTAGGAAGCTATAAAAGTTTTTGAAGGTATTTGAAAAAATAAAGTTCTGGGTAATTTTGAGGTATCCCATTGTTCCAAGTTCTCACCCGAAATGTCTGGAAACAGCATCTTTCTTAAGGTTAATTAATGTGGAATCAAAAGATAGTAAAGTTGCTCAAAAGCTGTCAGAAAATGAAACCATTAGCCGACTGAATGAAAAATTCAGAGAGTCCTCAGTGTAGTGGAGGCACAAAAATGGGCAGTTCTTCCACGAAGTTTGAGCATGATGAAAATCAAAAAGGAGTTCACGACATTTCATTTCATGAAGGGTAAAACAAAAGAAACTTGTGAAGCAGAAAAGGATCATGTCCACGCCTAATCCTAAACCAGGAAATGTAATCCCAGTGGAAAGAGCCGATGTCGTCATGAATTTCCACGAAAGCGACGGAATAAGTTGCTTCATGCCTGGCGAGGAAAATTTCCTTTTTGCGAAATGGTTTGAAAACTGATTCATGTCTTTAAAAAAAAGGCTAGTCTTGCACGATTTGAGGGAGGTGTTTAAGGTGTTGCATGAGAGGTTCCCCACCCTAGCTATTGGCTTCTCCAAATTCGCAGAACTTCATCGAAAGCCATGTCTTAACTGGATGGAGTGGTATTCATGCAGTGCGCGTCTGCACAATCCTTCATAACATGAAACTGATGAGGTTGGACGGAAGTATTACTGAACTGACTAGTCATAATGATGCCACACTGAAAGCACAGATCATCTGCTACCCTCCTGAACGAACTTGCTACTTCCAAGAATGCCATTCAGACCCTGGCATGTCAAGTCTGAAGGAATGCTTGAGATCGCGGCAATATGATGGACAGCGTAATCTACTGGGTGTGAAACTCTGTTGACAGATCCAGCCTCGAGATTCGCAGCAATTCCTCTTATTTTAATTTTTAAATTCTTTCTCTGAGAGCTGGAAGATCCCTCATTCATTCATTCACCCTTTTCTTTCTTTTTCCCGCAAAGCCAATTCACAATAGAGCTGTTTTCGAGTGCGAGACACTGCCAAGGTAAGATCTCTGGAGGGAATTCAATCAAGTCGTTAGGGTGTTAGATCAATGAAGGTAATTGTGAGGCTAACCATACATTAAATTGATGCATACATCAGCCTAATGAATGAAGCTGAGGCATGGAACACAATTACGCTCCATTGATCAAGTACGGTGGCGTAGCGAGGGGAGTGCAGGGGGGGGGCTTCAGCCCTCCCCCAAGTTTTGTTCAAACCCTCCCAACCGCCCCCACCCCTCCTGCAGTCCCATAGAGAAGTAAGGATAGCCCCCCCCCCCCCACCGTTCCCATAAGCCATCCTCCAATGGCGAAATCCTGGCTACACCACTGATCAACCCTAAAAAACTTCTTGAAATTGCCTCCAGAGATCTCCTCTTGACACTGCCTCGCAGTAAGACACTCGAAAACATCTCTATGGTGAATCAATTGGCTTGTGGGAAGAAGAAAAGAAAACGGGCGCCTTGAAAAGGCTCTGTCCTCTCTCCTAACCCTTACGAAAATGTCGTATAGGATTCCTATATATTCCTTTAGAAATATATAGGAATCCTATAGGATCCTATATGCCCCATGAAGTTCAGTTTGGGACCTATAGAGTTTCCTATAGAACCTATAGAGTCCCCTATTGAACCTATAGAGTTCCCTATAGAACCTATAGATCCCCCAATAGAACCTATAGATCCCCCAATAGAACCTATAGATCCCCCTATACAACCTATAGGGTTCCCCATAAGGCATATAGGTTCCCTGTAGGACCCAAAGGGTTCTGTATAGGACCCATAGGGTTCCCTATAAAACCTATAGGGTTCCCTATAGGACCTGAAGGGTTCGCTATAGGACCTATAGGATTCTCCATAGGACCTATAGGGTTCCCTTTAGTGCCTATATGGAACCCTATAGGACCTATAGGGTTCCCTATAGGACTTATACGGAACCCTATAGGCCTATAGGGTTCCGTTTGAAGTTGTCCTCTATGCCACGAGATGGAAGTAATGGGTTCTCACATTTCTCAAAGGGCACACAAGCGCCCTCCCCATACCCAAGGAATCATCACTCACGAGGGAGTTTTGTACGTCCCCAAATGTCTCGCCTCGCCTCATTGTAGCAATCAATAAACTTCGACAGTTTCTTATTTGTCATCCCTATCATCCAGATATAATCATGGAGTCCCGTGAAGAAACGTGCCCTTTTTCCTTATGAAAACTACGTACGAAACCGAGTAGACTGTATCCAAATGGAGTTTCAGTAAAGAGACGTGCTCGCAGGTTCTGTCTTCTATTTTTTTAGGTCGAGAGAAGAATGCTAATTCTTCCTACCGGAGGAAGTAGACGTGCGACACATGTGCGGCCGGGCCACAAGTTATGTAGACCCCCGCAGTACTGGTATGAATAATGTCCCTACCATGGAAAAACCACTAATCGGTTTTTTATTTACACCGAAATGCTGCGCCAATATTAAAACCCGGTCGCCTTATCCGTCGTAATGCCTGGGTTTCGAAACCCAGAATATCCTCCCTGAATCTTATAGGTCTGGAGACCTATAAGACCCTATAGGGATCCTATAGGTTTTTCGCGTTTCAAAAACCTATAGGAAAGTCTACAGGTTTCCTATAAGAAATAACTATAGGTTTCCTATAAGAAATAACTATAGGTTTCCTATAGGACATTTCCGTAAGGGAATTCACCTGACATTTAGCAAGTTTCCTCCGAACTGCCTCTTCTTGCAATCTCAAAACTTTTGCAATAATTTTTACACACCTTTATGCATTACTATTCCCGGTTTCATCAGTAAAAACTCTCCAGGGAACAGTTTCGAGCAATTAATTTGAACTCAAAGCCGCTTCTTTTGCAACATTTAAATCGCCACATCTCTTGAGTTAGAGAGCTGACTTTTGGCATGGAATCATTTTTCAATATCCCCTACGAGGTTCCGAATTTAATAGAAATTGGAGGGGATTTGGGTAGTTTTATAGTTCTTTTTGTTTCCGTGACATGAAATGATCCCAATGTCACTCAAGATGACTCAAAGTGACGAAAAACTAGTGTAAGTGAACGAAAAGTATCCATGTTGGTTATTGTTCTTACATATGCCAAATTGTTCAGTGCTCTAGAATTTAATTAACTTTTAGAACCCCAAGATGCCGATATATAGGCTTTTCATAATGTGATATAAATATGTTTGGGAGTGAACGGGTGAGACTATGAATTGGCCATTAGAGAATGAAATTATCCGAAATGCTGAAATGACCTAATTTGACCCATTTGTAAAACCTGAAAGGTATGAAAGCATGGTGGCCCCACGCCAACCAGAAGTCTAATTAAAATTTACAAAATTGATTCATAGAGACCCTAAGTGACCCACAGTAGCCAAAAATTCATGAAGCTGACGCTAATAACATCAGGAATAACCTGAATAGAAGTTCAGGTTGAATATGAATTAATATTCAGCCTGAAGTTAATATCAATATTTACTTGGGGTCCCTTATTCACCAAATATGAATAAGGGACACCAATTCCATGAATATTTTCATGGAATACCCACATATTTTAAATTCATTCTCAATGCATGAAGCATACAAGTGAACCCAAAACGAAGCCTATTTGATTTCAGCATTATATTCTTTCTCAAGGTATTGTTCTAGTAGTTTACATTGTAATTTTATTTTAAAGTCTTTCTTTTACTATCATCCGCTCCGTGTCCCAAAGAGCATTTAAAAGAAACGCCCTCAAATAATGATGTATATAGACTCCCATGGGGTTTTCTCAGCCCGGGATATTCCACTGCTTAGGTATTACCTTTGGAATGGAACATTTGATCCTGTTCATTTTGTTGCAGCCAATTTGGAGTGAGTTGGAAAACTTAGTAATTCTCTCGCTGTTGGTAGGTAAGAGTACTCTCATCAACGCGATGGCGAACTGGGTATATGGAGTGAAGTGGGAAGACGATTTTCGTTTTAATTTGATCTTGGACGAACAAGGAGAAGAAAAAACAGGGAAAAACCTAGCCTACAGTCAGACAAAGTGGACCACCGCATACGTTTTGCACAAGCAAATTGGATTCAGTCTTCCCTATACCTTGACAGTCATCGATACTCCAGGGTTTGGAGATACTGAGGACATCAAGGCAGATGAAGAATTGAAAAATCAGTTCAGAGATTTCTTTTCCAATAGCGGAGACATTGGAGTGGATCAGCTGGACGGAATCTGCTTCGTTGTCCAGGCTTCTTTACGCAGGCTCACACCCACACAGACGTACATCTTTGATTCAATCTTGTCCGTATTTGGAAATGATGTGGAAGACAACATTTACATATTGATCACATATGCGGACGCAATTGAACCTCCCGTCTTGGAAGCCATCCAAAAAGCTGATATCCCCTACAAAACGTACTTCAAATTCAATAATTCAGCTCTTTTCTCTGACAAAAGATTTGAGTTTTACGAGATGGAGTGTGACAAAATGTTCTGGGAGAAGACTGAGAAAAGCTTCAAAATGTTTTTCAAGAAATTTCAAGATGCGAAACCAGTCAGCCTGACATTGACAAAAGAAGTCCTGAATGAAAGGAAACGCTTGGAGACAGCTCTCCAGGGTATCCAGCCTCAAATTACGGCAGGTGAGTGAATACACTTTCTGTCATTTCAATAAAACAGGAACAGAGAGAAGGCAAACCTGGTCATATCCAGAGGATCAAATATCTTCAAGATACGAGAGCAAAAGCAAAGCTTGCTGAGATTCTCAAGAGGGATTTTGATCAATTTGAAGAATACATGAAGGAGTTCGAACAGTAAGGTTTTAACATACATCTTTTTGATCCTGATCCCCACGAAGACCAGCCTGAGGGCGCAAGCGCTGCACTCATGGAAAAAGACGGAGACGGAGATGGTGACGGCAGTAAAGAAGAGAAGCCAGGGATGTGGGACATATTCAAGAAGAAAATTGGTATTAGGTAAATAAACCTTCTTGATACTACACTCAATGTCCATAAAATTAGAGAAACCTCTCTAGTAGCGCGTTGGACCGCCTTTGGTCCTCATAACAGCATCAATTCGTCGTGGCATGGATTCCACGAGGTGCTGGAAACGTTCTGCAGGTATCCCGGCCCATGCTGCTAGCACAGCGTCACTCAGTTGCCGCTTGTTTGATGGCAGTGCAAGCAAGCCCCGCACAGCCCGTTCCTGATGTTGACACCAAACAGGAGGGGTCCATGGATTCATGTTTCATGCGCCAGATTCGCATCCTCCCATCGGCGAAATGCAACTGGATTCGGGATTCATCTGACCACGCAACCTTTTTCCACTCGGCAATGGTCCAGTGACGATGTTCTTTTGCCCAGAGAAGTCTGGCTTTCCTGTTTTTGTCCGACAACATTGGCACCTGAACTGGTCTTCTGCTGTTGTAGCCCATCCGCGCTAAGGTGCGACGGGTCGTGTGCACGGATATGTTTTTCGGGACACCAGTGTTGAATTTTGCCGTGATTTGGCGTACTGTAGCCCGCCTGTCGGCCAAAACGATGCGTGACAGCCTTCTCTGACCTCGAGCATCAAAGAGGCTCTGTCGTCCACAGGATGCCCTTGCAACCGTTGTTTTTCGCTTATCACACCATTCACGGCATACCCATGAAACTGTAGCAGTGACAAGCCTAACAGTTTGACGGTTTCCGCGATACTCAAACCAGCTAGTCTGGTACCAACGACCGTTCCACGCTCAAAGTCGCTGAGGTCTGTTGATTTGCCCATTCTGCAGTCAAAACACACACACTAAAGCAGGGCTGCCTGCTTTAGGGCTGCCTAACCTACCTATCCTAGGTAAGGTTATGCCCTAGCTGCATGGAAAGTTGAATGTAGGGGTATCTCTAATTTTGTGGACATTGAGTGTAGATAGTCACGTGTACCAATGTAAAGGTACGAGAGCCAAAGTGAAGTGGGCCGAAATGATCAAAATAAAAATTTAATCCACTCCAGGAAGACGTGAAGGAGTTCAAAAAAGATGGGTTTGATATTTCTCTCATCGATCTGGAACATTTTGAAGATGAAGTTGGAACTTCTCGGACGGTGTTCATCGCAGATTTTAGCAGAAAAACAGCGAAAATTATAAGCTTCTACAAACAAGGCTTCTTTCGAAGAGTTAAAGATGCGCTTGATTCCATAGGTAGTGAAATATTTCAAACTGGAAGACAACCAAGGTCTGGAGGTTAAACATGTAGCGGCCGCGATTTTGGCCGCTAGCTAGGCTGAGCGACCATAGTGCGTTTGTGTGCTTGTGGGTTTGTGTGTGTGTGACAGCTCTACAGGCCAAACGCTTAGTGATATGAAATTGGGGTGTCGACAGAACTCTTCCTTCCCATCCGAGGATGTGGCTTTTCGGAATAAAATGTGCAAATCGGTCATACGAAAAGGAAGGAAGGCAATTTTCATTTAAAATCGGAGATCAGCTCTCGTCTCGCCATCTCTGGTATAAATGAGGAGGCGAGAGTTGCCTTGTGACTCGCAATGGAGCGCTGACATCGCTTAATGCATTGCCTGGCGCCTGCTGCATGAAATACAGGGATTTTAAGCGTCCATACGGAACGCGAAAGATCATCAAAGGTTGTATTGTTTTCCCGTATCGCAGTCGCATTGGTAGATGACAAAACATTTTAAGTTTACTCTATGGGACCAGGAGATAGTAGTAAAAATAAAAGGTGGTTTGCGAGTCATGACTGACTTGATTGCTGCATGTTCCCTGTCTTCCTCTATTCGCTTGATATTATGTACGATGCTAGCTGTTGATGATTCTTAGACTGGGACTCCCCCAAATTTGGGTAGGTTCAGTTCTCCTTGTTGCGGTCTCGCGTCTGTGCTTCGACACTGAGAAGGTGTGTTGTAGATTGCAGTGGGTAACAATGTCGCTAGGGTTGGACGGTGCGCTCCACGTAGTGTGTTTCTTTCAACGTTAGAATTATTTTTCGCTCTATGGGCATTATGACCCATTGACGCGCTGAGGTGTCATGTTAAATGATAGGTGAGATCAGCTTTGACAAATGTCACCGGGGCGCTCAGCGTTGCATTACCGTTTCATTTCCGGGATTTTACTAATTTATTTCTCTTCATCTTAGATGACACAGTGCTCCATTCACATTGTCGGGTGCCGAAGATAATCATTGGGGAAATGAGACCTATAGGCCTTATACTTATGTCCGTGCCCAGGTAACACGTGAACGCTCTCGAGGACGTTCAAATTGTGCTCCATTTTGGACGTTCGACGTACACTGATGAGCACCTTTCTACCTCCTTTTAATGTGTCGTTTCATCATAAAACACGCGGCATTTGATATGTTCACTTCAAGCATATTTATGGTATCTATGGTACGGTAAGCAAAGGTTCCCACAACCGACGCAAGATGACGCCAAAATAGTCGCACAGAACGGGTCAATTCCTGAAACAGCTGGAATAATCCCCAATACCTTCCACACGTTAGCCGATCTTTCCCCTCATAAACAAGAGGGGAAGATAATTTAATTCTTCAACAAATCGGTCTTGGGAGGCAACCCAGTTCAAGGAGCCTTCAGAAAACTCTCTCTCCAAAGATAGGAGGATGGTCCTCTTTCGAAGGTCACTTCATGCAAGAAAAGAGCAAATCAGGAGAGATGAAAATGATTATCATATGACTTGTGAGAAGGGGATTCCGGGCAGGGCGTCTTTTCCTACTCGAGCATGAGATAACTGCGTAAATGACGATGGGTTATTCTAATTTTCCAATTGGAATAACACATCGTCATTTACGCAACTTTCCAATTATTGAACTATATCTTACAACTAGCGAGTTTGTTTGCCCTTCGGGCAAACAAACTCGCTATGGACGCGCCTTCGGCGCTTTGCGATATAAGGCATCCGTTTATGATGCTCACCCCAACTAAAGCGGTCAAACTCCTTTGTTCATGTGTTGAATTCTCGCTCCTTTAAATTAAAGGTGTCAAAGAGCATATTCTTAATGACGCCATGACATTTGTAGCATGAGGACCACCGATTATCAATTGTGTGTCGTTTAGTGTCCCATTGGTGTATTCAATTCCTGTCTGTGGCCGAGGCATTCTTGATATAATATCAATCTCCAAAAAAGTAGGAATTATAGCAGCCACATAACCACATAAGCCACTTGAGAGTTTTAACGCTAAGATGGTTAATATTAAAGACCAATGTAGGCCTGAGCAATCGTCCAAGGGTTGGATATAAGCTTGCTGAATCATTCCCATTAGGGCAAGTACCGCCAATGTCGAACTGTATCTGTAGTATGCAAGCCAACATCTATTTATTTTCCATCCCGTTTCCTTTGAGGCGTGTGCATGAGATGTTGGATATAAGCTTGCTGAATCATTCCCATTAGGGCAAGTACTGCCAATGTCGAACTGTATCTGTAGAGTGCAAGCCAACATCTATTTATTTTCCATCCCGTTTCCTTTGAGGCGTGTGCATGAGAGTAGTATTGGCCTAAGCATCCATCCATGGGGTAGTCCTAGGACTGAGAAATTTGTCCCCAGGGCATGTACACCCCTCCCACCCTCCGAAGTCTGGATTCCTCTAGAGTGAACAACGTAACAATAACACACACTCCCTTCAATGACTAAGGAGGAAGGAACGTGTTCATGAGAATGGCGTAAGCCTACATCTCCATCTGGGGGGGGGTACCCTCCGAAGTCTGGATTCCTCTAGAGTGAACAATGTAACAATAACACACACTCCCTTCAATGACTGAGGAGGAAGGAACGTGTTCATGAGAATGGCGTAAGCCTACATCTCCATCTGGGGGGGGGGTAGGAAGCAGACACATAAGCTCATTACTTCTGAGTTTTAAGACGATAATTCCAATTCGACTTTAGGGAATTTTATCGTTAATTTTATATTCTGGCGAAAGGACTCTATGGCAGTCCCTTTTTCAAACTCTCCTAAAGGTTCCATACAGTTGTCTATGAATAAACCGTATAAACCGTATATGCAGCCCGTAGCAATACCTTCCCGTTTTGTTGAAATGTTAGCATTGGCCTAATCGTCCTTAAGAGGATTAGACATAGCCACCTTACATCGAAATGTCAATGGAACATCTTATACTGTTTCCCTGCGAGAAAAATAAATAGAATCCATTCACATCTGCAAGCGTACCACGCGCCAACTCGTGCCCTTCTCTTCAACAATGACCCAACGGCATAGCTCGAACGCCTAGTGCGTCAGGTTACGACAAAAGGATGCTCGGTAAGATGGGCCGAGAAGTTCCGCGATGTGAATGGGTCGGGCGAGATTCGAGTAGGCCTCTGCGTCTGTGCAGGGGTTACCTATAGGCCTGCTAAGTCAATCACCTCATGACACGTACCTTCTATGTCGAACTTCATCCAAGGTGTGGAATGATATAGCTGTTTATTTTCTCTCCTCCTTCCATGAAGGAAGAAAATGTATGATTGTGATATTAGCCTAAGCATCCGTCCATGGGTTGAGTCTAGGCCTTTGAAATCAGTCCCACAACCCCGCCCCGAAAACGTGCCCCCAGGGCATGGACCCCCCAAAGTTGGGCATTCGAAGTTGGACTTTCTCTGGAATTGACAACCTATCAACAATGCACGTTCCTTCCCTTCTATTGAAGGCAAGAGGAGCTTGAGAATGGCTTAGGCCTAAGCGTCCGTCTGAGGGTTAGACCTAGGCTTAAAAAGTGAGACCCCCTGGAAGGAGCCCCCAGGGCACTTACCCCCAAAGTTGGACAGCTATTTCCTTTCTCTCCTGCTTCCCTGAATCAAGAAAATGTATGAGAGTTGTATTAGCC